GGGGATTTGTGGGGTTTAAAAAGGCGTTCAGGGAGGGCAGAGGAACTGAGGAGTTCTGAAGGGGATTCTGAAGGTTTTAGAAGGGTCAGGTGGGTGTTTTAGGGGTTCAGAGGTGTGTTTTGGGGTCAGGGGGATGTTTTTGGGGTTCTGGAGGTTGTGGGGAGGTTTCAGGGAGGTGTTTTGGGGGTGTTTTCACTCACAGCCCAGGGGCGCAGCCGGGCAGCCACGCGGCCGAGCAGCTCCGAGTCCCCCAACTCATCGGGAAGCCTCAACTGCAGCAGCGCCTCGAGGCTCTGTGAGGGTGGGGGACAACAGCAGGGACCCCTCCCCAAAATGTGGAACAGAGCTCCAACAACTCCCTCCCCCAAAATAAACAGGGAGGGGATGGGATTTGTTACCTGGCGCATTTCGGCGATCAGCTCCCGCTTGTCGGGGTCTGGGGGTGCTGTGGTGAAATTTGGGGAGGGGTCAAACACTGGTGGGGCACTGGAGGAGGGGACAAAGGGGGGGGTCGTGTCTCGTGTCCTACCTGGCTTGGTGGCACTGTGAGAGGAGGAGGGGCTGAGTAAGGCCCTGGGTTTTGTGGGGGTAGAGGAGGGGCCAGGGGCTTCATCGGGGTCCTGGGGGCAATGAAGACTCCTGTTAATTAGGGCTGAGCGTAGGAGAAGGGGTAATCAAGACCCGTGTTAATTAGGACTGAGCCTAACGATGTCACCCAGGTCCTCACCGGCATGGGCGCTGTCCGGGTGGGTCTCTGGGGGCTGATCCTGTAGGGGGGCGAGAGCAGCCAGTGCCCATTCCTGCTCCCATTCCCAACATCCCAAATCCACCCCAATCCCTGTCCCAGTCTCCATCCCCAATTTCCAACCCCAAATCCATCGTCCCAGCCCCAGTTCCCAATCCCAAACCCCCCTCAGTACCTGTCCTGACTCCTCTCCCTCTCTCTCTCCCTCCACACCTCCAGGTTCTTGGGGCGTCGCCGGCAAGTGGAGCTCACCCTGGGGGGAGRAGGGGGTCAAAACCYCCCCAAATTCCCCAAACCCTCCCTGAACCCCCCAAAACCTCCCCAAGACCCTCACCCGACTCTCCTGGGGGTGTCACCTCTCAGGGTGTGGCTCTGCTGCTCCTGGGGGACGAAGGGGAGGACAGGATTTTGGGAGGAAAAACCCCAGAATTTGAGGAGGGGATCAGAGAGGGGKTGGGGGTGACGTCACCTCAGGAGAGGGCTCCTCCTCGAGCTGCTCCGGATCGCTGTCACCAGCTGTGGGGACAATGGGGTTGGCCTGCAGTCCCCACGAGGTGACAGAAGGTCCTGGGGGTGTTTTTGGAGCTCCCACCCCCCTCACCTGCCCCACCGTGCATCTCCCTGTGCTGCCGCGACGGCTCCGAGGACTCATCCGTGGACTGAAACAGCGCCAAAAGGTGGGGAATGAGGTTGGGGAATGCTTCAAAATTCCCCTTAACGCCCCCMAAAACCCCCCAAATCGCACCTCATTCCCTGACCAGCGCTTGCTGCCGCTGTCGACRCTGTGGAAACCGGAGTCCAGCCCTCCCCGCTGCCGCAGGGGACACGGCTCGTCCGGGGGGCTGCAGGGTTCAAACAGGGGTGAGAMACCCCAAAAAACCCCATAAAGTGGGGTTCCCTCTCTTTGAGCCCCCCCTTTTACCATGGTGTGGCAGGCTGGGTGGCAGCTTCGGCTTCCAGGTATTTGAAGATGTGGACTTTGCCCTTCAGACATATCTGGGAGAGGGGGGCACAGGGGGATCAGGTGGAGTTTTTGGGGGATTGGGGAGATCCCCGGGCCCCCCCTCACCTGGGCAGGGGGGAACTGGAGGGGGTTGTTGTCCGCGAGCAGGATTTGGAGGTGCCGGAGCCGCCGGAAACAGCGCGGAATCGCAACCACCCGGTTGCAGGAGAAATCCAGCCGGACCAGGGGTAATTCTGAGATCTCTGGTGGGGTGGGAGGGGGACACAGACACACGGGATCAACAACGCGACCTTCCCAAAGCGGCTGGAACCACCTCCCAATCCTTCACGCACCCTCGGGCAGCGCCACGAGCTGGTTCCGCCGCACGTTCAGGTCCCGCAATGCCCGCAGCTGCCCCAGCCCCGGCGGCAGCGATCGCAGCCGGTTACAGCTGACATCCTGCGGGGAAAAACGGGGGCAAAACGGGGCAAAACGGGGGTCAGGGGGGTGTCTCCAAAACCTCCGAGGGGCTCAACCCCCGTCTCCCGGCGCTCACCAGCTGCCGCAGCGTTCGCAAGGCACCGAGGTTCGGGGGCAGCTGAGCCAGGCGGTTGTTGCTGGCGTTGAGGACGCGCAGGGGCAGGAGGCAGAGGCAGGCGGGCAGAGAGCTCAGCTGGTTGCGGCTGTGAGGAGCAGAGTGAAATCACGGGGAGCTGCCGGACCATCCAAATCCCCTCCTGTCGGGGCTGGGCCGTACCTGAGATCCAGGTGAGCCAGGGCCTGCAGGTTGGCGATGGCCGGGGGGACGCTGCGCAGGCAGTTGTGGTACAGGCTGAGTCCCTCCAGCGAGAACAGGCGGCAAGCGGCCTCTGGCACCTCCCCGAAACGGTTCCGGGACAGGTCTGGGGGGAGGAGGGGGACACGCGGGGACATGCGGGACAGGGACGGGGACCCATAGGGACGGGGGACCCCCAGGGAACCGGACGGATAGGGACAAGAGATCTCCGGGGATAGGGAGTGACAGGGATAAGAGAGGGGGGGACTAAGCGGGACAAAGATCTCCTCGGTATAAGGACAGGGGACGCAGATCCCCGGGGACAGGGGTGTTGATGCAACCCCAACCGCCCCGTCCGCGGACCCAGAGCCGCCTAAGGCTGATGCCCTCCTCCACTCTGCGAGGGGTAAATTGAGGCAGCCGGACCGCCCGGACCAGGCGCTCCGGCTCCTCCCGTCCCGGCGCCTCCGCGCCCACCTCCGGCACCGCCCGCGGGCTCCAGGAGGCTCCGAGGAAGGCGGGGAACCCGCAGCTCGCCCTTGGCGGGGGGAAGCACCCCAAGTGACCCCGGGGTGTGGGGAAGGGTCCGGGTTCCTGCCCCGGGGCCGCGGCCTCACCGGCCTGTGTGGTGTCGCTGAGATCCCAGCGCCGCGCCGCCGCCGCCGGGAAGGAGCGCAGCCGCCGGCCGGCCAGACTGAGAGTGCCGGAGGCCTCTGCTTCTTCCAGGGCGCGCTCGGTGCCGGCTCCTCCGGGCAGGCGGCCCAGCGCCGGCGGCAGCTCAGCCGTGACGGCCCCCGCCGCCCCCGTGGCCATGGCGGGCACGGAGCTCCGCTCGCAGCGGCCGCCGCTGTCGGACTGAGCGTCGGTCGCTTCCGGGCCCCACAAGGGGGGCGGGGCCAGCACCGCAGCCAATCAGAACAAGGGGCGCACAGGGAGGCGRCCAATCGGACAGGGTTAGCGRGGGCGCWGCTRGCAGAGTGCGGAAGTTTTCTTTTTGASTGACAACAACAAAGACCAATAAYCATCGAGCTGTGAGGGGTGTGCGCGCCAASCGCAGCCAATCACAGCTGAYGCWCAATTCTGACCAATCGCGAGSGAAAGGGCGGAGCTCGTTGCCGGGCAACGGCCCCTTATATTTGTGCCGTATCGTCCAATCRTATTTGAGGTGGCGGGAGCGAGGCCCGTGATTGACGTGTAACCCAACCAATCGCGTTTAAAGCAACGACGCAGCTCCGSGAATGGGCGGGGCATGGCGRCTCCACCAATTRGGASCGATAGCKATGATTGACAGGAACGGARGGCGAAAGGGAGCCAATCAGAAGAAAGKCGTGGCAGMGGTAAGCCACGCCCCCGGCGTTCTTGGAAACCGCGCCCACCGTGGCCACGCCCCGGCCACACCCCTTATTAAAACTCCGCCTTCCGCTGCCTCTTAAAGGAGCCGCACCATTTAAAGGGGAGGTCACAGGAAGGTCCCTSTTCATTTTGGGGAGCCCCACCCCGAGTTGGAAGCAAGGGCGGGGTCCCCACAGCCCCTTCAGTCGCACATTCCAGCTCTGCACCCCTTTATTTGCATATGTGCGGGGCGAGCCCCCCCAAATCCCGGCGGTCCGGGGGGGCTGGGGAGGGGTCTCAGGGGTTCCCCCGGCACGGCTTCTTGCTGAGGTTCCCCAAAATCTGCTGCTGTTGTGGGCGGTAAGGCACGACAAAGGCGTCGGGGGGCAGCAGGGCCCCTCCATCYCCCGCCAGCTGCCCCATCAGGACATAGCTGGAGCCTGGAAGRGAATTGGGGAGGGGGCTGTCAGCACCTGGAGGGTCACAGAAACACTGCCCAACCCCCCAAAAAACCCTGCCGGGCACACCCACCTTTCTTGAGCACGGGGCAGAGGCGACACGGCAGCTGCAGCCGCAGCGTGGCCCCCTTGGCGGGTTGGGGGACCCCCAGGCCCCCCGATTTGTAGAGACTCAGGACGGACACCACGGCCCAGCCCGGCTCCTGGGGGGGACCTCGCGACACCGATTTCACYGTCCCCGTCAGCACTGGAGGCACAGGAAGGGGCGGGGGGGAGGGGGTCAGGCACCCCTGAAACCTCAGACACCCCTGAGAGTGGGGGTTTGGGGGACCCCAACCTCCCCTTCCCTTCCCGACCCTATTTTGGGGCACTACC